GGCCGGTGGTCTTAATAAAGCTGTATGTGGGTGCATCTAAACAAATGGACATACGTCGGACCTGGAGGCTGTTGTTGGGTTCTGTGCTGCCTGGAGTATAGGAGCTCTATCTGTGCTTCCTTCCTGTGGTGAATCTGTATAAGACCTGTGGTCTTAATAAGGCTGTATGTGGGTGTATCTAAACAACTGGACATGCGTCGGACCTGGAGGCTATTGTTGGGTTCTGTGCTATCTGGAGTATAGGAGCTCTATCTGTGCTTCCTTCCTGTGGTGAATCTGTATAAGGCCGGTGGTCTTAATAAAGCTGTATGTGGGTGTATCTAAACAACTGGACATACGTCGAACCTGAAGGCTGTTGTTGGGTTCTGTGCTGCCTGGAGTATAAGAGCTCTATCTGTGCTTCCTTCCTGTGGTGAATCTGTATAAGGCCGGTGGTCTTAATAAAGCTGTATGTGTGTGTATATATCTTACAAATCTCTATATATATAAAAATGAATGTTTGTATGTCTGTCTGTATGTCCGGTATACAAATTCGCAGTAGTTCACTAATTCAAACCAAAATTTCCATACATAGGTAAAAGAATACGGGGAAGACGATTGGCAATTTTAAAAAATATTTAAATCAATTATTAAAACTATATATTTTTATTCAGAAAATGATGATCGCGATATTGTTGTATCATGTTTGATTATCAGCTACAAAATTATATCGGGAAAAATATTAATATATCTCTCTATATATATAAATGAATGTTTGTATGTCTGTCTGTATGTCCGGTATACAAATTCGCAGTAGTTCACTAATTCAAACCAAAATTTCCATACATAGGTAAAAAATACGGGGAAGACGATAGGCTATTTAAAAAATATATAAATCAATTATCAAAACTTTATATTTTTATTCAGAAAATGATGATGACGATATTGTTGTATCATGTTTGATTATCAGATACAAAATTATATCTCTTCTATATTTAACTATTCTCTATATATATAAAAATGAATGTTTGTATGTCTGTCTGTATGTCCGGTATACAAATTCGCAGTAGTTCACTAATTAAAACCAAAATTTCCATACATAGGTAAAAGAATACGGGGAAGACGATAGGCTATTTTAAAAAATATATAAATCAATTATTAAAACTATATAATTTTATTCAGAAAATGATGATGACGATATTGCTGTATCATGTTTGATTATCAGCTACAAAATATATCGGGAAAAAATATTAATATATATATATATAAAAATGAATGTTTGTATGTTTGTCTTTCTGTTTGTATGTCCGGTATACAAATTCGCAGTAGTTCACTAATTCAAACCAAAATTTCCATACATAGGTAAAAGAATACGGGGAAGACGATAGGCTATTTTAAAAAATATATAAATCAATCAATAAAACTATATATTTTTAGTCAGAAAATGATGATGGCGATATTGCTGTATCATGTTTGATTATCAGGTACAAAATTATATCGGGAAAAAATTCCAAAAAGCAGAGACCACGGGTGAAACCAGTTCATTATTTTGTATGCAGGAACAAAATTCTAACAGAAAAACATTTATTCGAGCAGAAAACAAAAGCCAGATCATCTTTCTATAAAAATATCGCTTCTCAGACACAAAGTTTGGAGCGGGACGTTTCACAAAAGTGACATCCACGGTGCCAATTTAAAATTGTAACGAATATTATTTGAATAAAAACATTTAATCGGGTTAAACCCGGGCGTTGCCCGGGTCATTCGGCTAGTATTATATAAACACAAACCTGAATTTGGAAAATATTTTTAAATGATTATCAAGTTATACCATAAATTTAGCCAAGTCACTATGCCTATTATATTTTAATAAAACACACAGTTTACTATTTGATTTAGATTAGTTTTCAATATCTACATAGTGGTACAACAAAAGTTATCTACTTCTGGAGCCTAATACATATTTCTATAGAACGACATTTGAAAATTATCCCGCATGTGTTTCTTTTGAACGAAAAATCGAGATTTATTTTAAAGAGAAATAACGATTATTTCTAACCTTAAGGATGAAGTATGAAAGGATGAATTGTGAAGAGTAATGATAAACGGAAAAATAAAGTGTTCAGGGATGGGAAACGAACCCACAGTGTTCCGCTTACTGGGCAGATGCCATGTCCACTAGGCTACCCTGGACACTTTATTTTTTCCGTTTATCATTACTCTTCACAATTCATCATTTCATTCTTCATCCTAAGGATAGAACTAATCGTTATTTCTCCTTAAAATAAATTTCGATTTTTCGTTCAAAAGAAACACATGCGGGATAATTTTCAAATGTCGTTCTAAAATCATAAGCCTCATTATATTATATTACATATTGCTATAATAAATAAATATTTTTTTAGTTTAATAAATATTTTTCTAGATATTTTGTGGAAACTAAGAAGCACTTTAAATAATTATAAATGTGTAAAGAAACATTATAAAAATTAAATCGGGAAAACAGGTATGTTTATAATTTATATAAATGAATATATTTTAGAAGTGATATAATTCATGCTGTGATTCTCAGATGAATTTTCTGATTCAAAATATTATAAATAACATTATAATTTATTAAAATAAAATTTAAGAAATATTCAACGCCATCTATGAGTCAATATACATATTATATTCTAAATATGATAATTTTATAAGGATTGGGATAAATACAAATATGTTTAAACTATATATTCTTACATATATTATAACTACATTTCTCTTGTTGGAGGTGGCAATTCCGGGATATTTCTACGATATAATACTCTGTTATAATTTTCATATTGTTATAATATTGTCAATGCTAATTCGCATCTCTGCCTATATATCGCAGCTTTTTAAGATTGTTGTGTGTTGGCTAGCTGTTCTTTGATAGGGCAGGCATGTTGTTGTAATGTTGTCCGCGCAAATTTGCATATCTGCCTATATATATATATATATATTGAAAAGTTGCCGGGATGAAATTAATCAATAGAAGCAATGGGCGCATCTCCCGTCAAAATGAACGTCAGAATCTGACCGTCGCCGCAACTAGCGGCATCGGGTCGGTGACAAAGCCACAACACTAACTTTGGCAAACTGATAAGCGTTCACCTAGAGCGGCGACCTAGCGACCATCGTTTCGGGCTAATGGCCCTCGTCAGTCTAAGGCGGACTTTATTCCATGAGATCCATACGGTATCTAATGGAATCCTCACAATCTACCAAAGAGGTGTTTTGCTGGCAAGGTGGCTGGGCCAAATTTTCCATCTTTATTCTAGCCATAGAATTGGCCCACCCACTTTGCTAGCTAAACACCTCTTTGGCAGAATGTCAAGATTCCATTAGATCCCGTGTGATTCTCATGGAATAAAGTCCGCCCTAGACTGACGAGGGCCATTAGCCCGAAACCATGGTCGCTAGGTGGAAACTTCTCAGTTTGCCAAAGCTGGTGTTGTGGCTTTGTCACCGACCCGAGGCCACTAGTTGCGGCGACGATCAATAGATGGCGTCAAGTTTTGACGTTTATTTTGACGGAAGAGGCGCCCTGTGCTTCTATGGATTAATTTTCTCCCGGCATATTTTCCATCTATATATATATGTCATAAAAAACGTATATTCTAGATACGTTACCTTTAATGCAGTCGTGGATAAAAATAAATTAAGAATGACCTTTAATGTTTTCCTTAAATTATATTTATTTTCATTATTTCTCAAAGCAAACAGTTTTCATACAAAGACAACTAACAACGTTTTTTTAAAATAATTACAAATTAGGTTATATTATTTTTTTTGGCATTCCTTTACATTTTAAAGATTAACTCTGTGTTTAGTTCTTATTTTTAATTTGATTATTTAAATTATAATTTCAGTTATATTAGGAAAACAATTTTAATAAATATTATGGTTATGTAATTATTTTGTTTTAGAATTTTAATTATATTATGTAATATATATATATATAGATGGAAATTTTGCCGGGAGGAAAATGATCTAAAGAGACAAGGGTCGCCTCTCCCGTCAAAATAGACGTCTAAAACAGACGCCATCTATTGACCGTCGCCGCAACTAGCGGCCTCGGGTCGGTGACAAAGCCACAACACCAACTTTGGCAAACTGAAAAGCGTCCACCTGGAGACCATGGTTTCGGGCTGATGGCCCTCGTCAGTCTAGGGCGGACTTTATTCCATGAGATCCACACGGGATCTAATGGAATCTTGAAAATCTACCAAAGAGGTTGTTTGCTGGCAAAGTGGCTGGGCCATATCTATGGCCAAAATATAGATGGAAATTTTGCCGGGAGGAAAATTATCTAAAGAGACAAGGGTCGCCTCTCCCGTCAAAATAGACGTCTAAAACAGACGCCATCTATGTTGTGGTTTTGTCACCGACCCTAGGCCGCTAGTTGCGGCGACGGTCAATAGATGGCGTCTGTTTTAGACGTCTATTTTGACGGGAGAGGTGACCCTTGTCTCTTTATATATATATATGGTAGCTTTGTTGGTTTGTGTGTTGGCTAGCTGTTCTTAGATAGGTCCGGCTCCTGATAGACGAAATCTGCTAAGTTGTATATATAATTTTATCTCTTAGCCTTTCTTATTGTTTATAAATACCTTTTAGTAATAAAAGATCTTCATAATTATCAGCATTCTTTTCTTCTACGAATATATACTATTTTCCCAACTACTCTCTGCTAATTGTATATTTCATAAATAATTTAAAATTGCATTAACAATTAATTATTTATTAGGTGGCATCATTAGAAAGGTGAGATAACTATGGCTGGAGTAGATCAATTAGAAAATCTAGCTTTATTATTTTTATGTTATTCCTACTGAATGGTTTCACGGTATTCCATATGTTTGTGTGGCAAAACAGAAAAATATCTGCTACACTACGACTATATAGAGATTGTAGAACGTCTCTTTACACGCGATAAATATGTGGCTTTTAGGATAGTAGAGAATTGCATATTTACAGTAAACTCTCCTATAACGCGATTAATGTGTTCCGTGTTGTATGAAATCGCGTTATAGGAATTCGCGTTGTATGAAATAAAATTTATATAATGTGAATGTTGTTAGGGTAAATTGTTTTATTTTATAACGCGTTATACGAAAATATTCGCATTGTATAAATAAATTTGTCGCAATTTTTTTTATCGCGTTGTACGAAAGCGTTGTAAAAACTCGCGTTATAGGAGGGTCTACTGTAATATATATATATATGAATAATTTGAAAATTGCTAATAAAAGCAATTTTTAAAAGGTGGTTGAAATAATTTGAAAATAGAAATATATGCAAATATATAACAGAGAAGCATGCTAACTCTGATTAAGTATAACTAAAGAAAAAAGTTCACTTTTTAGAATGGTTTTCTCTATTCGATTGAAGAATATTTGTGGTTCGTTATCCCAGTTGTTTTCGGTTTTTTTTTTTTTTTTTTTTTCGACAGGCTCATGACGTGTCAAAGCCGATTTAAATGCTTAATAGTAAATATTTTTATGCATTATTAAGTTCTTATAATTAATATTTTACACTTCAGAAATATATATATAGTATTTTGTTGAGATGTCCATACACTTTGCTGCTGCACAAAATCAATATAGGTATGCCTCGAAAAACTAAAGGTTTATTTTACCTAGTAAATTGCAAATTAAGAGAATTTATAAAAAAGTTATAATAAAATAGTTCGAATGGGTATTTTCAATTAAAAATGTATATCAAGGTATTTTATTAAAAAACAAGGTTAAATGATATAAATTATTATTATTTCCTTTATATTATAGATCTAATATATAATAAAACATATCAAATACATTTATTCTTGATCAAATTTTCATCGCCATTCTTAACTATAATCCTAACTAATATCATTCTATTATACTCCATTTAATTCTGTTATCGTTCCTTTAACTTCATAAATATTCGTAAAGTAAATGAATAAATATATATTATCAAATTAAAATTATTAATTAAATAAAAGTTCTGAAAAATGATATATATATTATATAATCTAAAATACAAATATTTTATTTTTTCAAAAACATATATTTTATTTTTTCATTCATTGACTGTTCTGCATTTTTGACCATATATTCAAAAAAATATCACTTTTAATGATTATTGTTGTAAATATGTATATTTAACCCTACCTATCTTTTATTCACGATTATAGAATTCATTATATAAATTCTATATTCCTGTGATATAAATAATTTTATGTATATTTTTACTTCAAGAGATTCAAAATAAAAATCTGCTTGAAAGGTAAATAATTATTTTTATTTTTCCACGACTGCACCTCTTTACAACAATCAAACACACAAAAATTTTCTAATCTATAACATATATAAATATATATATATTATATAATCTAGAAATATATATATTATATAATCTAAAAACTCTAAATATTTCTATATATTCATAACATATATATATATATTACAGTTAAACCTGTCTATAGCGCCCCCTCTTGGGACTCACCAAAATAGGGTGCTATAGAGAGGGGGTGCTATAGATAGGTCACTTTTAATGTAAATCGCATCGTACTACGTATTTAAAATCGGGCGCTATAGAGATGGAGGAGCTATTTAGAGGAGGCGCTATAGACAGGTTTAACTGTATACATATATAAAATTGATTTCTTTAATAACTTCAATAAGAGAAAATCCTATATCTTATAATTCACCTATTTAAAGATATTTCCATGCCAATATAGACAATGATTGACTCTATCAACCAAGAGACAGAATTATAGGCATTATAAACCGATGAAAATTGGAACTTGTTTGAATGATATTGAATATTTTAAATATATATAATTATTCTCTCTTGTTTTACTCCAAAATATAAATACCTTTAAAATCAAAGAAAGCATATCCTGACAACTCTCCCTTGAGCTTTTAGTCGCGCCATCTAGTGGAATAGAAATCAACTAATCGTTGAGTTAGCATGTTCCGTGATATTTGACCAACCTATTTTATTGTGTGATAAATCAAGAAAAGTCAACCAAGAACGCGTTTCGGGCTGTTGGGCCTCATCAGCGTGTTCAGGCTGTATCTCTATGACCAAAAATATATTGGTCCCAGAAGCTTCTTGAGAAATCCCTATTTTTCATTAACCCTATATACAAATATAAAATAGCAAATGTACAAAATAAAATTTATTTC